CCATCAACTCCGAATCCCAGTAAGTCTGCGTGCACGTTTGCGGTGACCGCGGCGGTCGACCGCCAGTCTGCTTGGCTGATTTCTTTGTTGTTTCCTGTAATTCTTCACATGAAGAGTGAATACTCAAAGCGTAGATCTTGCACATTCCTCTATTAACAATTACATTTTTAACATCATGTACTTCCTCCAGCTACTGAAGCATTCTTCAATTTGAACACAATTGGAACCCAAACATTAAGCATGCTGAAATTTGGATGTAACTAGAGCGACATGAGGTCCTACTCAAATACATAGCTCTAGTTTTGCATCTTTGGTCTGGGATCAAGATTGACCCCTCGTCTCTTTTTTATAATAATATTGTTTGAGGAAAAACTCGGCCATGGTCAAAACCAACTTATCTATTACTACTTATTAGAGGAAGCTTGCCTTTTGGACCAATTTTTGGTATTATACCCTTAATTGAACATACTTTCTAAAACCGAAGGATGTCCTTGCAGCTTACAATTCTTTACAAATTTATGTCAAGGGCCTAATGGGAAAACAACAAAATTCAACTTCAAGCCCCATGTTCATATAACTTCCCACGTAATTAATATTTTAGAGAAATTTTCTTTACCGATCTAATATCTCTTTGCCTCCATATACAAACTTCATCCTTAAAATACCAGCTTTCAGCTGCCTCCTCTCCATTTAAACTGTTCACCGCGTGAAAATTGTTAGGTATCAACTCAAACTCCAAGTCGGATGCGGGTTTGAAAGCTAGGCCCAATTCTAGTAATTTTGCTGACAAGTTAGGATTGTGTCTTTGATTCTTTATATAATTTTATAAGAATTAGATAGAGTTAGAGATCTATCATTATGACTAGAAGATTGAACCTCATCATGATTAGGAGTTTGAATCATATTCTAATTAGGAAGTTAGGCTAGAGATAGGATTTTGGTTTCTCTATATATATTCTTCTATTGTTGGAGGAAAAACCAATGAGAGTAGAGAGAAGGAGAGAGACAATATTCTTGTAATCAGGGTTTTAGAGGGTGTAACCGGGTTCAAGGGTATTGTGTGAGAGAGAGTTTGACAGTTTTTGTCCGTGCAAAAGATTGTAATTTAGAGGTGATAGTGGATTAATTTTGATCCTGTGGTTTTTTCCTGTTGAGGGTTTTCCACGTTAAATCTCGTGTGATTCTATTTGCTGCGTTTGGTGGTTTTTGAGGTTTTTGCGAGATCTAAAAATCCCAACAAAAATCTGGGGAGTAGTACACATCGAATATCCCCAACCAACAACGATTTAATCAATTTCTTCTTCATGATCCGGTACCAATTTCCTCCTCCATCATTTCATATTTTTTTCCATTTACTAATTTTTAAGGTCCATTATCTGCTCTATTTTTTTTCATGAACACTACGAACATGAGTTGAAAAAATTCTAGGGTGTTAGATCTACATCATAAAACTTGAGATCTAAAACCATATAGCCATGATTAATTCAAAGAGATTAACAAAAATTTAAAAGAGCGGAAGCTTATACATTACTTACATAGGGTTCTCTTACAATTAAATAAACACGTACATGTTTAAATTATAAGGGTTTTTAATTCCTTACATTACTTTTTCATAAATAAGATTTACTTTTGCTTAATTACGGTTTAATAGCATCAACAATATTATTTCCATCAATCAGCCCTACACATCAGACATTCACAATCCTCAAGGTTAAATCAAACTCTTTTTCAAGACCTAGGTCCAATTTCCTCTTTGGGGCTGTTCGTTTCGCAAAAAAAAAAAAAGGGAAATCAAAGAATAGGAAACCTATTTCCTATAATAATTGTTTTGATGTTGTTTGGTTGGCTTTAAAAAGAAGAAAATTATAGAATAGGAGATGGGATGAGATGAGTTGTCACCTTATTATTGGATGATGTGAGTGATTTAAAAAAAAAACTTGTTTTGAGGTTGTTTGGTTGGTTAAAAAAATAAGGAAATAAATTGAAGGTATATTATTGGATGATGTTTTGAGGTTATTTGTGTTTGGTTTATTTTTAAAAATAAGAAAATTGATGAGATGAGATGAGTTGGAGGTATATTATTGGATGATGTGACACATACTTAAGGAAATCAAATTTTTTTTTTTGAGGAAATGGATGAAAAGGAAGGTTTAATGAGATGAGATGAGTTGTCACAATATTATTGGATGATGTGTGTGCTTTTAAAAAATGAGATGTGATGAGATGTGATGAGTTGGATGATGTGACACATTTCTTGTGTTTGGTTTATTTTTAAAGGTAAGAAATAAGATGAAATACGATGAGTTGGAGGATAAAAATATTATTTTATTAGATGTTGTGTGTGAGTTTTAGAGATGGAAATGGATAAAAATATTATTTTATTGGTTTCATTGTACCGATTTCCTTTTCTTGTTTTTTAGGAAACCAACCAAACGGCCCCTTTTACTCCCTTAATCGTTTAAATTTTCTCTAGGGAGACGAAGATCACTTGCAAATCACATGCACGTGTGGAATTTATAGGGCTTTCTATGTTTTTATTGACTTTGTTTAGTAGGCTCTATTTTGGCTTAAAGAGATGGGTTGAATTTTGTAAAGCTATAGACCAAAAACAGAATATTCTTTTATATTTTGGTATAGTTTGTTATTGTTTATGGAAATAAAACCTACTCACATAAAGTTTGACATTTTTTAAGAAAATTTCTTCAAAGATCTAAAATATGGGGCCAACAGAGTGGACATGTGAGGTGTCTCTCTCCTATTGCATAATGACCTGGTCATATGCAATAGGAAGGGGGCACCTCACATGTCCCCCATATTATTCCCACATCGGACATCCACAATCCTCAAGGTTAAATCAAACTCTTTTTCAAGACCTAGGTTCAATTTCCTCTTTACTCCCTTGATCTTTTAAATTTTCTCTAGGGAGACAAAGGTCACTTGCAAATCACACGGATGTGTGGAATTTATAGGGTTTTTTATGTTTTTATTGACTTTGTTCAGTAGGCTTTATTTTGTCTTAAAAGAGATGGGTTGAATTTTGTAAAGTTATAGACCAAAAACAGAATATTCTTTTATATTTTGGTATAGTTTGTTATTGTTTATGGAAATAAAACCTACTCACATAAAGTTTGACATTTTTTAAGAAAATTTCCCAAGGATCTAAAATATGGGATCAATAGTGTGACGCCCCTGGGTTCACACGAGGCTGCAGTCCAATGTAAAACCAAGAATGTCAAACCTGCTATGCACCACACCGTGCAATAACATGTTTCACCATCACAATTACTATCTCTCTAGTAGAGTCAATAAAAGGTGTATGTACAAAAGTAAGTAAAAGATAATACAGAAATCAACAGATGAAATAATAGAGATCAAATTAATATTCCATCACCTAGCATACTGAAGTACAAGTCAAAGTCTGGAATAAATAAACTGAAGTACTCAACAAGTTTCAAATACAAAATATATCTGACAAGAGGAAATAAGGCACAAAGCCTTTACAACTTCTAGAATGAAACTCTCAAATGTCTAAACAAAAGTCTACAGTGGAGCTCAAAAGAAAAATATAACTAAATAGACAGCTGAAGCTAAAGTGCATCGCCATCAACCTGACTGAAATGAAAATTTGTATGTGATTACTTACACAAAACCCTAAATATATTTTTCCATATTCAAAACGCATTGAAATCAATAAATCACATGAAACCCAAGTTCAAACAAATTCCAGATCTGGATCTACATTTACAAAATCGTTGGTGAGTTTTTATTAAACAGAAAATGTAGATCTTGCTGCTCATAATATAAAGTATCTATCTTTATGCACAAAATACGTTTTAGGCTCAAGAAAATGAAATAAAACTCGAAGAAAACTATACAAATAGTGGGTGAGAGTTGGGCAAGATGTTACTCGCCTCTGGTATGCTAGAACAACTCCTGAATCCGAGAGATGATGATTCCCTTCGCTGCACCTCGCCAAACCCGCTGAAATCCTCCGAAAATCCCTAAAAAATCACCCAAAAACGAACTAGGGTTTGAGGGAAGAGAGGGGCTAGGGTTTTCTCTGGGATTCTAATGGGTTTAGGGTTGGTTTCGGGTAGGAGAGGTTACATACAAACAGTCAAACCCGAAACAAAACCAAACCAAACCAGCAAAAGAAAAGAAAAACTGGAAATCAGCCCGTCAGTCGACTCATAGGTCGACTCATAAGTCGACTGAGCAGGCATTTCCCAGATTTGTGCATGTTTTGCTAATCTGTCAAAACCAATGCACAAAACTCTATAAAATTACACTCATACTTTTCTAATAACTTGTTATCAAGTATATCCATGACCTCAAGTCCTTTACTACAATAGAATTATTTATCACTAATAATTCACATATACTTTTAACAAAAATATATGAGGTTTTACAAATAGAAGAGACAAGTGAGGTATCCACTCCTATTATATAATAATAATAAGCTGATCATGATCATATACAATAAAAAGGAGACAACTATCACACTTTTTGAACACGTCTATTTTTATCTTTTGTAGTGAGCAGTAGCGGCCAATAAGCGCGCAACGTCTCTCGAGCACCCACCCCAAAAAAAAAGCCCCGACCTTTCTCGATCTCCGTCACCCTCCAAAACCAACCCCCCCTCCCCCTCCTCCTCCTCCTCCATGGAGCCTCCCTAAACGACAAACCCCCGCCTCCTCCCTGCCTGCCTGCCGCCTCCTGATGCGCCCCATTTTCGCTTTCGGCTCCCTCTTCTTCTTGCCTCCTCTCCCGAAAAACCCCACAACCCCCGCCTCACGTTCCCCTCGAGCAATCCGATGGTCTCTCGTCTCTCCTCCTCCTCCTCCATTTCCCCCCTCCCCATTCCTCTCCCTCTCCCCTTCGAGACCCGTCCCCCGAATAAGCCATAGCGGTCCGCGCGTGTCCCCGCGTCTCGCCGGCCCGAAACAGGGGCGAGAGCGGGGTCGGGACGGGAGAGGGCGCACCGAGCGGCAGAGTCGGTGAGCGTGAAGGACTACTTCGCCGCGGCGAAGGAGGTTGTCAAGCCCGACGGGGGCCCGCCGAGGTGGTTCTGCCCCGCTGAGTGCGGGCGGCCCATTGAGGATGCCCCCGTGCTCTTCTTTCTCCCTGGTGAGGAGTTTCGGGTGGGTTTTGGGCCGGTGGGGGGGTTTGGTTTCCTTGGACTAATCCTGAGCCTGTGTGGGTTGTAGGTATTGATGGCACTGGGATGGGGCTCATTTTGCATCACAAGTCTCTTGGAAAGTGAGTTGTGCTCTTTTAGGACAAATTTTCAAAACCAACCCTTTTAGAAACTTAATTGCAAAAATCGACCCATTTCGAATTTAATTGCCAAAATCGACCCAGACTATTTTGGCGAAATAATTTACGAAACTTCACGGGACTTCGTGAAGTTTAAGCGCACTTCACGGGACTTCTTCAAGTCCCGTGAAGTTTCGTAACTTTTTTTTATCATCAAAATTGACCTAGTTTCGATTTTGATAATTAAGTTGCAAATATGTCGTTTTTTGTAATTAAGTTGCTAAATAGGTTGGTTTTGAAAATTTGCCCTGCTCTTTATTAAGGTTTGGGATGGAGTTAGCTTGTTTCATATGCCATGAGTTTATAGTTGTTTTCTTTGTGTATGGGTGTTTCTAATGTTGTTGAACTTTGAGGTCATGCTTTATATATGTCTTGTAATGTTAATGCAAAAGCAATCCCCTGGGTTTGTTTGGTTTTACATTTGACCGCCTGATTAAAGTGGAGGTGTACTTTTAGGTGTCCTTACATAGGAAGAAAAGAAAGAAAATGGGGGGAAAGACAAAAAAATGAAGTATAAGTTCTTATTAGAGTATAAAATTATATTTCTTTTAACCCTCGCTACAACTTTGGAGTTCTGATGTAGTTAAAAGTGACTGGTATCTGGGTTCAAATCACACTAGACAGATATTTAGTGCGAATTTAGAAAAAAGAAGAAACTGCTGAACAATTAACAGTATGCTATTTGGCTTCAAATTTCTAGTAAAATCGCTGAATGTTCAACGTTTCAATACAGAATTATTTTTCTTTATTTTATATGCATAACCTCGACTGGATACTTTTTCTAGAACCTGTGCGGTTGCACTTGTCTGTTGGAGGAAAGTTTTAATTTAATCTATGTTGTTCTAGTGTCTTGATGTCTCCTTTTTGCTAATATTTTTAGTGATTTATTTCTTCATGTGTTTGATTTATAGGGTTTTCGAAGTTAGGTGCTTGCACATTCCAGTGAATGATAGGACACCATTTGAAGGTTTTGATCTTGCAGCATTCTCTATTCTGGAAAGCTTTTATGTATGTGCATTGGTTTCTGATATTCTGACTATTCCTGAACTGTTTCTTATTAGATTACACAAATTATACTTAGATATGGCCACCACATTCAAAAGGACATGCCCCTTCTGTTCACATTTTTTTCCCACCAAGATCATTTATGGAACTCCTTGACCCCTGAATTTTGGAGTATCCTACTTCGTGTGATTCACAAGGTTCAACAAGTATTTTAGGATCAAACGTGTGGTACTGCTTGTAGTAGCGGGTCTTATATCTTGTATTAATAATCGAAAGAAGGTCGAAAGAAAAAAGAACTCTATTTGATGGGCCTTCTTCCTATACGGCTATACCTATGAATTCCAACAAAGCAAGAAATGAGACATTGGAAGAATCTTTTTAGTTTTCCAATATTAACAGGTTGATTGTTTCGCTCTTGTACAAAATCATGCAAAACTCATGCGGGTAAAGTTCACATAACATGCAACTAGACTATTTAATTTTTTATTAAATAATTTGTTGATGTACGGAATCACACAGTCAAATAAATATAGATTAAGTTGACGGAGGTCCTCTAACTTTCTGAATGTCTAGTCCTCGAGCAAACTGCTGTTCTCTGTACAAGTAACAAATCTTATGAGGGCAGGGTGTAAATTTTCGGTTATTCCTCCGACGATCAAGTCAGTGAACTGCTTGTGTGGAGAAGTATAAGGAATTCCAGTAGTTCTTAAGTTCAGAGAACAATGGAAAAAACTTACCCGTTATTGAAAATAGTATCCATATATATAGTGGAGATAGAATGGGTAGAATGGTAACTTCAGCTGGGCATGGGTTGGCGGCCAGGTCAGCTTCAGCTTTACAGGTATCGGCTGACGAGTGGAGAAGAGGTTACTTTGGTGTTTAATGCAAAGTGATTGGGAGTATACGGTGTCGTCGTGGTCCGATGTGTTATAAATACTATTGGAGGCAGATGAATGATGACACCAATAATGCATTTAATGATATTTATTGCGAGGTGATTGGTCACCAGTGTGCAGGAGGGGGCTCAAGGCTTAATGTGTTTCGTCACTTTTCTATTCATCGGACGGTCGAGAGGTACCGCCTTTCGAGTCGTCCTGACAAGGTGTTGACCTATGAGGTAGCCGAGTGAGGTGGTTGGGTTGTCGACTCAGCCAAGGGACGGCACGATCACCTCTCGGCATTGTTTTAAATATCCCCGACATGGCCCGATATATCCCCCGATATATCCTTTTACAGGGCTTGCCGCAACCGATATGGTCTTTAAATATCCTTTATCGTTTTTTGGCTATTTTGAGTGATAAATCCCCGATATGACCGATATATTAGCCGATATGTGGACCAATATATCTTTTTATATAGCTTGTTGCAAAATAATATACCGTGTTTGGAATTTTTGGACGAGATATCAAGATTTTTCCATTATATCAAATGACATTTTGCTCTAAAAAAAGCAGATCGAATGTTGTAACATTGCTTTGCACTTTTGTTTGTTTTAGAAGGTTGATTAGTGATCCTAAACATAAGTTATTCATGTTTTGTATGCTTAAATTTCATTACATATATTAAAATTATATTTTAATGCATTATACTATGTATGCAAACATTCATTATGGCATTCCTATATTTACCACATATCCCCGATATTTCCCCGATATCCGCAATCCGATATGAATTTTGACCATCCGATATTTCCCTGATATCCGATATTTAAAACCTTGCCTCTCGGGTCACCGACATGTGACGCATTTCGAGTCATCCTCGCAAGATGTCGGTGTGTCGAGTCGACTGAATGGGGCCTCTGATTATCTTGAGAGGCTAACTTGATTATACATAATATGTGACACTTGTCTGCCATTGATTAGAGATTAATTTTCATTACTAAAACAGCTATAAAGAACAGTAGTTTGCTCGAGGTCCAGACATTCGGAAAGTTAAAGAACCTCCGTCAACTTAATCTATATTTATCTAACCGTGTGATTCCATACATCAACATAATTGATTACAAATTTTTTGAATATTGATAAGTCCTCATACAACAAGACAAGCAACTTGAAAATGTTCATATCATGTTTTAAAGCCGCTTCATTTTCAATTTGAACCTCAATTCTGGGCACTTCCATTTACCTGTAGTCATAAAAAGTTGAAATTGTCTACAAAACTTAGATAAACATCGGCTAACAAAAACAAAAAGATGGAATTGTTTACAAACCTTATCCAAGATCATCATTTGTCGTTATTCTTTTAGATGAGACCATTCATAATCTTGTGACATCCAGGTACTCCAGGATGCCATCTGCGCAAAAAAAAAAGGAGTCGAAAGAATTGTTAACCTTATCCAAATTTTTCCTTAGGTTATATTTTATTGCTTTCATATGGAAAACCTACAACTTTGGTTTGATAGTAATCAAAGATTTTAGTGCACGCATACAAGATGTTCTATGCGTGTCTATGCATGTATACACACTAGAAAGCTAATGTCAGATTCAATTTTTTAATGAATTTACTGTTTTATGATTCATTTTTATTGAAGCGAGATGTGTTTATAACAGTTATACAAAGCAATGCACTATATTTAGTTTTGATTCACTCAATCAATCTTACTCTCTTTGATGGAAAAATAAGAAATATGAAAAACAAATAAAACACCAAAGGTTAAAGGTGCAGTCACATAATGAATCCAATCTACCCCATTATAAGTTGTGTTATTTTCGATTCTCTAAATAAACTGAAGCCATAATATGTAGAAATGCCCCTATTCAAATTGGAGGTTCTGGTAGCATTATTAAACCCAAATCCAACATGCTCAATTTTTGTAAGAGTAATGGACATAAAAAGGCATGTTTGTTTATCTAACACTTAAAAACTCAAAAAAGCTGAGTTAGAAGATGATATGAGGTTACAATTTTTTGCTGTTCTTTAATAGAATATATGCATCGCATAGTTCATTGTGTATGTGAGTATATATATATGTATTTGTATATCCATGAATATAAAAGTTTTCATGCACATTACATTAGTGCATGTTTATGCATGTATGAAGAATTATATACAGAAAATTAGACAACTGACAATAACTACACACAGAAATGAAAGTAATTAAGACATCTTTGAAGGACTTCACCTCAAGTAAGCTCTGCATTTGTTAAACTTCGGGATCAAACTCTGTGCCTCTGGAAAGATAAGAGCTCTGATGGAGGTCTCAGGATCATTACTGCTTTTTTTTAACTACAGAAACCAAGAAAGGCAAGTCTCCATGTTATTTTGTGGGACAACCTTGCCTCTTGTGTATCCTGTCCATACAATCGATTGAAATAGCTGGTTCAGTGTACTAGCTGAATATGTGCGTCCCCAATAACTGCAATGATTCGATTTTAGATTACGCATTTATGTGCTAAGGATTTTTTTTAATACATTCATGTACCACGTTTAGCCCACAAGTGAATTCACCTTAGAGGTGCATGAACCAATTCATAACGCATAATCACGACCATGGGTAAAATGAAACTTCTAGAAGTGGCAAATGATTGGGTTGGCTTCACTTACAGCTGACAATTAAAGTTCATCTCACTAACCCATTTTGCTAACTATCACCTCTGATACTTAGAATCTGTTTCATGCTTGATGTTTTACAGGATTACCATGACTGGCATACTCTGGTTACTATGGATCTTCTGCATATTCATTTGAATTAGCTGCTAATTGCAAGAAATGCTAATATATTAGAACCATTTAAAACATTATAATTGACTGTACAGTATAGTTATCCGCAATATACACATTTGGAGGTCAGGTATCCAAAATGGAATGATCATTTTTGTAAATTAAATTGATGTTGCAATTTGATGTCTCTATAGAGAGTTTTTCTCCCTTCTTCGTTCATGATGACTTTCCTTCAAGAGAATATTAAAGCCAAGTCACATAAAATTGATATTAATTGTAAGGAATTAATCCAAAGTTATAGTATTCTCGAGTGCGAGGTGGAGAGTTCTCACTGTTCCCTTGCATCTTTGTCTCTTCTCATTAGGTGTCAACTTATTCAATATTCAAATGATCATGTTTCGTAAACTTTTGTCAAATGCGCACTCCAATATCGTGTCTCAAAGGAAAATTTTAATATTCAAATCAATCCAAACACTTTAGTGATTGTTATATGACTTCATTTTTTATGCATGAAGGTCTGGTGAATTTTGTTGAGAACTCAGTGAAGAATGAGCATGCTCTCTCTCCTAATAGACCAATTTATCTCATTGGAGACTCCTTTGGAGGATGCCTATCACTTGCTGTTGCTGCTCGAAACCCTTCTGTCGACCTTGTGCTAGTACTAGTGAATCCAGGTTTGTAATAATGTGCATTACACCTGAATGTTCTGTATTTCATACTTTTGACTAGTATCTAATTTGTTTCTTTTGTCTATGTTTGACTTCTAATCAGCAACATCATTTGGAAATTCACAACTGCAGCCTTTTCTCCCAGTGTTGGAGGCCTTGCCAGATGATATTCACACTGCAGTTCCTTATGTCCTTAGCTTCATCATGGGTAAGTAGTCAGTTTTACTTTTTGAATCCAATCAAGCTGTATATTTTATGTTCTCACTACTGAGTGTAAAGTCAAAAGGATAGATATATGGGCAAACTGCATAAAACAGTATCTAGTCTAGGTTGTTTTTCGTTTTACTAGCATGTTCCTTGAGCCGAAGGAGAACCTCCCGACATAGTATTTTAGAGGTTGCATAAAGAGTGATGCAATGTTCATTTTATGTTGTCTTTGTAATTTTATTGAATATAATTGAATGTTTGATTCGTCCATTGTCAATAATATAATCAGTTGTCTTGCCTTCTCTTGAGGTGTGGGATTTTTCTGCCTCGTTTCGACTTATGTAATGAAAGTAGAACCCCTCAAAATCCAGTGAAATTTTATGCAGTTTGCTCTAATTATAGTAAAGCATCTTGAATGATGCACATTGAAAGATTCTCTCCAGTTTGAGTATTAAGAAATAGGTGCCCACCTAAAGTGTTCCTTCTGAACTCCAGTTTTATGTTTTCTGACCAACTAATAACCACCTAGACGGTCAATTGAGATGAAATATTCTTGATATATTCTATTTCTTCGATATTACTGTTGTTCATATACAAACTCTTGATTGCTGATCAGCCTATATAAATGTTAAAGTTAGACATTGTCATGTGACGGCTGATATTGCCTCTCACTGTATCAGGAGATCCTGTGAAGATGGCAATGGCGAACGTTGATGATGATCTCCCCCCTCCTCGAACACTGGAGGAAATATCAAAAAGCCTCACTTCTTTATTACCTCTTCTTTCAGTAAGATAGCTGTTCTGGTTTCCTTTTATTGTGTCTTCTCTTTTTCCTAATTGATACTTTCCACCTTTGTGAAGAGTTTATCCTGTATACATTTTGCCATTACATTAAACGCTGGGCGCTTCTAGGCGTCGAACTTGGCACCCAGCGCTTAGTCGCCAAGACGGGCGCCTAAGCGGTTTCTGGGCGTTTTTTTTCTCTTTTATTTTTTTAATTGTGATACTTGAAGATAAATAGATATATACTAAATCAAAGATGCATAAATACTAAAATACTAACACTATTAACTAATTGTTTGGTTTACCAATTACAATAGTTCTTTGTATGTTTATACTTCTCAACTCAAATTATAAGTTCATCTCAACAGTGAAAAACTCATTCACAACTCAAATTACTTATAACTTATAAGTTACTGTTAAGTTTAAGTTAACAATAAACTTAAACTTAAGTTTACTGTTAACTAAAATATTGTTAACTTAAGTTTACTGTTTACTTAAACTTAAGTTTACCATCAACAAAAAACTTAATGTTAACTTAAACTTAAACTTTAACTTAAGTTTAACTTAAACTTAAGTTACTGTTAACTTACACTTCTTAAGTTTAAGTTACTGTTGTTAACTAACTTAAATAGATATTTAAGAAGTACGATTTACCTTGTTAGTAGTTACAGAGATCGAGGGAGCTCGGCAATGTTACAGAAGGCGCTAGACAGACTAGGCGTTTGAGCGAACGCCTAGCGCCTAGACCCTTGGGTGTACGCCTAGGCGTTTGACTATTTTTAAATTATTTAATTATAATAATTAATAAAAATATGTATTAAATTCATATAAATTTTCAAAAAAAGATAGCAATCTTAGTTTCACAATAAACCATGCATACTTAGATACTAAATAGCCAAAATAATAATTAATAAGGCTAGAGCCTAAGATGTTTTCTTTTTTATTTTTAATTACAATAATTAATAGTGAATGTTAATGTTATATAGAAAGCTTAGATGCCGGACTGATGTCTAGACGGATTTCTTTCTTCATTTAAGTGGTGATCGATGAGGTTTTGCTGAAGGTCGGAGGAGATAGTGGATGTGTTCATATTTGGAGGTTAATGGAGTTTGGAGGACGTGTAGGCTACAACACATAAAATCACAACCAAGGCCTACATGGTGCAATCCACGTAAGCAGACAATGTTCCCCTAAACGCTTGTAAAATCTAGGTGGGGAGCCTAAATACCGCTTAGGCGCTAGGCACTAGTTAGACGGCCTAGGTACCGCCTAGGCCTATGCGTACACCTAAGTGGACTAGGTGGAGGTTTTTTAAAACAGTGCATTTTGCATATACTTTATGATGTATTTCATGGATTAGTTATTGTCAAATTTTTTTTTTATGCTGTGAAAGCACCGTATACTTCCAATGAAAAAGGAATAATCACTGGCAAATGAGCTTTGTTTGATCTTTAATTATACCAACCAAGATAGTATCCCATTTTGATTAAAATAGAACTATCATTATTGTCATACCTTGAAGTTTTTCCCATAAATAGAATCAACCATGGAGCACAGCGAGCTTTTTGGATTGATTCCAAATTTCTTGCCTGGATATAAACAATAGACATTCAAGCCATAGAATTTGAATGGCCAGTTTGCAAAGAGATTCACCTATCATAGTTTTTCGTCATGCAAATTGCCATCATGTGATTAGGGCGGAAGCTTTCAATTTTCTCCAGAATAAAGAGTTTAAATTTAGTTTTAGAAGACAATAAATTTTTGCGTAAGGTATAGTTTGAGAACTACCTTTTTTCCTTTTTTCCTACGCTATAAAACCTTTCCCATTGCTCATAAAAGGAAGCTCAGTTTGGTAGAGTTATGTTGATTTTGTTATCTAAACTTGCTCTGTATTTTAATTGTCTCTTATGTAATTTCTGTTTCTTTTGTGTTATCAATGTGGATCTACAATGTAATCTGTGTTGATGAGTCTCAAGACTTCATTTTTTCCCCCTTAAAAATTTGATAGTCTCTTACACGTTACATGTTTCTGCAATATACCAGGACTTCAACGATATTTTACCAAAGGATACACTTATGTGGAAGCTCAAGCTTCTTAAATCAGGTACCGCTTATGCCAATTCTCGACTACATGCTGTAGAAGCGGAGGTTTTAATGCTCGCCAGGTTTGTCCTTATAAATCTCAAACTCCTTTCTCTTGCATTCTGTTGGCTTTTGATATGGAAAAAAATTATTGTAGTAGTGAAATATTAGCTTTCTGAACTGCTTATCCATGGGATAATTTTTTTTTTTTTGAAAATTTTACACTGTTAAATATTAGCCCTCTCTAGTGATCATCGATCTTCAGTGTTAGAATGCATTCTAGTTTTCTCAAAGTTCAGACGAAAGCTAGAGGGGTGTATCCTAATCTCACTTCATCATTTTCAACTGATGCCATGAGAATTTACTTAAGATCTGTGAGTTTGGAGCTAATGATGTACTTGCAGCGGAAAGGATAACCTGCTCCCAAGTGGAGAAGAAGCTGACAGGCTGTGGACAAAATTAAAGAATTGCAGAATTCGCTACTTTAAGGATAGTGGCCACACTCTTCTATTGGTGAGTTAGTATTTATGATGTTCCGTTTCAAACTTACTTGCATACTCATGATATTGTATTTTGTTTAGATTTGATGGTTGGGGAATTTTTACAGCTCTTATTCAATGCAATATAACACAAGCATCACATTGAAAATTTCATAAATATCTCCATTAATGCCCTACATGTTTTATGAAATCTATTTAAACCTATATACATGCAAAAGCGTCTTAAATTCATAACAAAGTGTGTTAACAACTTCATATTTGTCATTCTTGACTGTGAAATAGTGACACTTGCATATAATGGTCTAACTCTTAAAAGTGATATATTTATCATTCTTGTCTAGATAATCCTTTGTACATATCGTCATTCCAATGCAAAGAAAGTAAGGTTTTATTTTATCATTTATTATTTATTTAAAGGAACTATGCATTAACTTGATATCCTAATGCTGCAGGAAGACGGCTTCAACCTCTTATCCGTTATCAAACGAACAACTATATACCGCCGTTCTAAGCAGCATGACTTTGTTACTGATTATCTTCCTCCTACTAAAACTGATTTCAGAAAACATATTGACCAAGATAATAGGTAAATATTTCTTTCAAGTGTAAATTGCATGTTACTCCCTCATCCATCCTTTCAGTTGCACTAAACACCCCTCAACCAATTTATTAGCACTTAATCCCCCTCAGTTCATGAGAAAGAGGGGCTACACTTGCAATTAATCTTCCTCCTTTTTAGGTGGGGGGGGGGGGGATCTTTCAATAAAATGGTAGTAAGTGTGGTATTAATGAAAATCTTACAACTTGATTTTTCACAGACTATTTCGCCTTGCAACAAGTGCAGTTACACTTTCCACTCTAGAAAGTGGGCGGATAGTGAAAGGTCTTGCTGGGGTCCCCGATGAAGGACCAGTTCTGTTAGTTGGTTATCATATGTTGTATGGCCTTGAGCTTGACCCTCTTTACGAAGCCTTCTTGAGGGAGAAAAATGTAATTGTACGTGGCATGGCACACCCAATTTTGTTTCGATCATCTGAAAATTCACGGACTGAGCTCTCTCGCTTTGATCTCTTGCTGAGCTTCGGTGCTTTGCCTGTGTCTCCTGTAAACTTGTATAGGCTGTTTGCCAAGAAGTCATTTGTTCTCCTATATCCAGGGGGTGCTCGTGAAGCTCTACATCGAAAGGTGAGCTATGGTATTTCATCAAGGTTATTAGTTTGATAATTAATTAAAGCGTTTTATTGCGGGTAGACCCAATGTACTTCTATTGTTGCAGATAAACCCCCGGATTCTCAACTCCGTTAGTTTCCCCATTTAAATTAATAATATGTAATGTTCCTTCAAAAAAAGTAAATCAGTTTATGAAGCTCATATGTTTCAGTTTGCGAAGTCCAATCCTAACGTGAGCCTAAATGAGTTGAGAATCCAGGGGATCTGTGTAGTGATATTTGTATACAGGAACCTCAGTTGTAAATTAAAAGCTATTGATAATGATTAATTTGTTGTAGATCATTTAATTCTTTTTATTATTTGATGACTAAGTTCAAGTTGGGCACTAATGCATGAATATTCATCTAGGTGATGAAGAATGTCAAACTAAAAATGATCTCACAGGATGTTCATTATATAGGACATTATAAAGTGTGGACAGTACTAAAGAATGCAGCGTTGCAGTAATACAATATTTCTTTAGCTTTTTCTACTTGCATTTCATTTATAGATCAACTAAAGTTATAGATTCCTTAAATTTTTTTAAGTACATACGGTGATATACCCTCTTTTCCACATTAATAAATGTCTTTAATGATCAAATGCTTACAGGGTGAAGAGTACAAATTGTTTTGGCCAGATCAACCTGAATTTGTGAGGATGGCTGCAAGATTTGGGGCCACAATTGTTCCATTTGGAGTTGTTGGAGAAGATGACTTAGTAGAGGTGAGAAGATATTTAAGGTTTTATATACAAACTTATCAGGACAGAATTTTACAAGTTCCCAGTATAAGTTACTATTTACTGTTATTCCTAGATGCTCTTTTGTGCATAGAGTTGAGTATAACGCTATTGACTCGAACACGAGGGTACAAGTTTCATATCAATTCATTCAAATATTTTGAAATTAATTTTAGAATGTCTTCTGTTTATTGAATGGGGTTGCTGGTGGCTAATAAGTTTCGCTTCTTATATTTATTAAACTATATGCTTGGGCTTTGATGTGATATCTTTTAAGGGAGAAACGTTGTAGAGATTTTCTTCTAGAGGCTTCTAGAGGCTTCTAGAAGCAACAACAATTCTATATTGCAGCGATAAATAATGCCGCAACGAAAGAATTATTGGCAATGTGTGATCTATATCAATGACATGTACTGCATGTTAATATTGGTGTACAAGAAACAAGAATACATTAATTGCTTTGGCTTACACAGGATAATCGTTCATAGGGTGAGGTGTTCTCATTCTCTTTCTATCTTCTTATGGTATTAGACTGTAATGTTTAACTGGTTTTCTGTTGAACATTCATTTTCTTCTTCCTCGCTAATTGTACATTGCAGCTTGCTTTACATAATTATTTTACTTCAAAACTCAGGTTGAACATTCATTATGATTCCCATAGGCTCCTTAATTTGTGAGCAATTGTGCAATATATTCGACATCATTGAGTAAAAATTGCTTTGTAATATGTTATTGCCTCCTACTGCATGGGACCACTGAATTTTATCTTTATCTTTTTGGCAGCTCGTTCTTGATTATAACGACCAAACAAATATCCCATTCTTCAGGGAATGGCTACAAAATGTAAATGAAGACTCCATTAAATTAAGGTACTCGTTTTATACATCAACGATCATGTGACGCATTTTTTTTTTTTGTGAGTTTCCAAAAGTTTTGAAAGGATGGTTCTCTTTTTGCAGGGAAAACATGGAAGGGGAGGTCTCAAAACAAGATTTTCATTTTCCCGTCCTTTTACCAAAATTGCCTGGGCGCTTCTATTATTTATTCGGGAAGCCATTTGAGACAAAAGAGAAGAAAGAGCTCTTGAAAGATAGAGAGAGTGCAAGAGAAGCATATATGCAGATTAAATCAGAGATTGAGGGCATATTTTCATATTTGAAGACGAAAAGAGAGGAAGATCCATATAGAGGTATTGTACAAAGAACAATATATCACACGTCTAGGGGTTCCTGGTCTCAAGCACCAAGCTTCGATCCCTGACGCCAAAGTTTCGAAATTACTGCAAAATATAACGGAGAACCCGCATCGTTATGATAGTAGAAATTTGACAGTTTCGAAATTGATAGTTTTTCGAAAGGTTTCCATAGCGACGAAAGGGGTAATCTAATCGAAGAATGAGTGTCAGAGCCAAGGTATGACTATAGTTGTTCAGTAGGATTTGTTATAGATTGAAAAGGAGAATGCTTATTTGTTCGTTGTATTAAAGAACGAAAGTTGATTCTTTGGAAATTCAATGAATCAATTTGTGAACCAAAGGCAATTTTTTCTCCACTCTTGTTTATGCGCACAAGTTGTATCTCCGTGTTATTTATGCTCTGTAGAAGAGTTGGTATATATGCTCGTAGAAGATTTGATGAATTGTACCAAAAATAGGCTATTATTAATAATATCCAAAATGCTGATAATATCAATCTAATTAACCCAAAAATGAAAATCCAAACAGGTGGATGTGATTTACTGCATATGAACTATCTAGAAATAAAATTTTAAAAGAGTTCAACATCTTAACCCATGTACAGTATGTCATCAAAATCAATGTTTCAGAATTTTCATAAAGTTAGATTAATTTTTTGCCCCTTGAGGTATGACTAGAAACACATTGAAATCCTTTGAAGTTTTGTTTCTTAAGTAGTTCATGTAAAATAGATCACATCCACTGGTAAAATAGATCAACTAGATAAAAGAAAACAAAGAACAACTAAATATGTCTCGTTTTTTCAAAATATTTGGTCATATGAGTTAATATGTTATTAATTTTTGTTTAACACCTCTCTCTTCTAGCTGTTGTTCTAGAAAGAAAAAAAATGGTTATTTGCACTTAAATGCCCCAAGATTTTACCCTATTTTGTAACTTTCATACAAAAATTAGCTTGAAAAGTGACGCTCTTTATCAGTTTAGTCTAAAAAATGACGCTAGCGACACTTTAACCTAAAAGGTGATAAATACGATGGCAAATAGGTATTTCTGGTGGCGAGAACAAATTTCAAGTGAAATAATAAGTAATTTTTACAAATAAACCCTCCAATCTCTCTTTTCCTAAATTTTGAAATTTGTAAAAAAAAATCTCTCTTCCCACAATTTCTTTCCTCCTCCTAATCCACAACCTCTCATCCTCTCTCCCACTCCCTCTGCCTCCTTTTTCCACCCACTTCCTCTTCACCCTCTAACCATATTAAAAAAAACCAACCTTCTCATCCTCTCGCAGACCCAATATCATACATTCTATCAAAAATGTTGGGACAAACCCGGGGCCCAATAGAGCAGGATCGCAGCAATAGAAAAGCAAAAGTAGAGATAAAATGTTGGACACACAGATTTACGTGGTTCGGCACTTGATTGCCTACGTCCACGGGCAAAGATAGAAGAATTCACTATGAGGAGAAAACTCTGGAGTTACAATCTCTCTTTCTAAGGAGATACTCTCTCTATTTTTTTCTCTCACACACTTCTATATAAGAAGAAGTTTCTGGGATGAGATTTCCTTAAGGATTTGGAGCCCTATTTATAGTTTTTTGAAAAATACTATGCACAATAAAATATTAATATTTTACTGTAGCAGTGGGGCCCGCTCTTTTGTTTTCTTTCTCCTTTTCAACATTGGCTGTGCACTTTCGGTGGGTTTTGGAGTTGATAGGCGCCTGACAATCTCCCACTTGAAGATTTGATTGAGTATCAATCATATCTTCACATCATTCTTTCTATCTTGCCATCTTCATGTTGCTTACGTCTCAGACAGACCACAAGAGGATCGACACCAAATAAATTTGTCAGTATTGACTGCTTTGGTCAAAAAATCTGCTAGGTTGTCCTTGGTGTGAATTTTCTGCATATCTACTGTTCCTTCTTCCACTTTCTCACGAACGAAGTGATACTGAACTCGAATGTGCTTGGTCTTTGAATGAAAGACTGGATTTCTTGCCAAATACAAAGCACTCTGACTGTCACAAAATAGAGAAATCTTCTTTTGTTCATAGCCGAGTTCCTCCAGCACCATCTTCAACCACATCGCTTCTTTACTAGCTTGTGTAGCTGCTACATACTCTGCTTCTGTTGTTGAAGTAGCCACAACTGACTGCAGTTTTGAAACCCAGCTTACAGCTCCGCCAGCAAGTGCAAACACATAACCTGTGGTGGATTTGCTATTATCACGATCACCTGCATAATCAGAATCAACATATCCACTGACAATAAAATCAGATCCCCCATAACATAATGCAACATTTGAGGTTCCTTGAATGTATCTTAGAACCCTCTTTACAGCATTCCAATGCTCTTTACCAGGATTCGCCATGTATCGACTAACCACTCCCACTGCTTGTGCAATGTCTGGTCTTGTACAAATCATCGCGAACATTAAGCTTCCCACTGCTGATGCATACTGCTGATGCATACGGTACTCGAGACATCTCCATCCTCTCTTCTTCACTGCTAGGACTCATACTGGAGGATAACTTGAAATTAACAGGAAGTGGGGTAGAAATTGACTTACAATCTTGCATGTTAAAGCGTCGCAAGATTTTCTTCAAATAGTTCTTCTGAGAAAGCCAAATCTTCCTATTAATTCTGTCTCGGTAAATTTGCATCCCTAGAATCTTGTTTGCAGATCCTAAATCCTTCATTTCAAATTCCCTAGCCAACTGAGCCTTTAATTCTTGGATACGATCTTTGTTGGGGCCTGCAACCAACATGTCGTCAACATACAACAATAAGATAACAAAGTTATTTTCACCAAACCTCTTGAAATATGCACAAGGGTCTGAATTAAGTCTGTTGTATCCAAGGCTCATGATGAATGAATCAAATCTCTTATACCAACACCTCGGCGCCTGCTTTAGACCGTACAGAGATTTGTTCAATCTGCAAACCAAGTTCTCTTTTCCTTTTTCTTCAAAACCTTCTGGTTGGAGCATGTAAATTTCTTCTTCAAGATCTCCATGAAGAAATGCTGTTTTCACATCTAGCTGCTCTATATGTAAGTCAAATATAGCGCTCATAGCCAGGACTATTCGGACTGTTGTTAGTCGCACTACAGGAGAAAATATTTCATTAAAATCAATACCTTCTTTCTGAGCATATCCTTTTACCACCAATCTAGCACGATACCGCTCCACTTGATCATCGCCATTTCGCTTGATCTTGTAGACCCATTTGTTTCCAATGGTCTTTCTTCCTTGTGGCAGTGACACAAGTTCCTAAGTCTTGTTCTTATGGAGAGCTTCAATTTCTTCCTGCATTGCTGCCATCCACAAAGATGCATCTGTGCCATTTATAGCTTCATGAAAAGTTGATGGCTCTCCATCTTCTGTTAGAAGACAGTATGCAACATTACTCTCCGTAATATACTCCGAGTGCCAAGTCGGTGGTCTTCTCTCACGAGTTGACCTTCGAACTTCTGGAGCCTCGGCCTCGACTGGTTCTTGTACATCATGCTCCGGTGTCGCTTCAGAAGAATTCGGATTATCTTCTACCTGAACAGCTACAGTCTCTGAGTCCTTCCTCGAACTGCTTTCTTTCTCTTCACTTTGTAGTTGGTTCTCTACAAAGATAACATCTCTGCTGATGATAACCTTGTGGGTAGTGGGATCCCACAGGCGATACCCCTTTACTCCATCAGCATACCCCAAGAATATGCATTTTCTGGATTTTGAATCCAGCTTTGTAATTTCTTGGGCATTGTACATTACGTACACTGAACTTCCAAATATATGGAGGTTAGAATAATCAGATGGCTTGCCAGTTCACATCTCCATCTGCGTCTTCAACTGTATTGCGGTTGATGGAGATCGATTCACCACATAACAGGCGGTTTTTACTGCTTCCGCCCAAAAGACTTTTTCCAGATTTGCAGTAGCCAACATAGCTCTTGTTCTTTCCAACAGAGTTCTGTTCATCCGCTCCGCCACTCCATTTTGTTGAGGAGTATAAGCCGTACTGAATTGTCTTTTGATGCCTTCTTGCTTGCAGAATGCTAGGAATTCACCGTCTGTGTATTCTCCTCCATTATCTGACCTCAAGCACTTGATCTTCTTCTCAGATTCAAGCTCGACCCGCGCTTTGTAGGCTTTAAAGACTGAGAACACATCCGCCTTCTTCTTGATAGGATACACCCAACATCTCCTGGAGTAATCATCAATAAAGGATACAAAGTACTTTGCTCCTCCTAAGGATGTAACTGGTGCTTGCCATACATCAGAATGAACCAGTTCCAGAATAGCCTTGCTTCTAGAACTCGATGTGTTGAACTTCAGTCGATGTTGCTTGCTTGTAACACAATGCTCGCAGAATGGAAGAGCTACCGAATTAAGTCCAGGAAGCAGTTTCTGATCGGAGAGAACCTTCAAGCCTCGTTCTGACATGTGGCCTAGCTTGCGATGCCACATCATGGTTTGTTCTTCTCCATGGCTGGTTGATGCCACACATGAATCAGCTTCCTGCAGAGTCTCTCCCTTGAGCATGTACAGATTTGCAGCTATCTTTTCTCCTTTTATCACCACAAGCGCCCCTCTAACAATCTTCATGACTCCATTTTCTATATGAGTCTTGCACCCGAGCTCATCTAATTGTCCCAAAGACAATAGATTCTTCTTCAAGCCCTTCACATGTCGCACATCTTGAATGGTGCGTATTATACCATCAAACATTTTGATTTTGATAGTACCAATACCACAAATCTCCAAGGCATGATCATTCCCCATGAATACAGATCCTCCTGAGATAGGTTCATATTTGTGAAACCAATCTCTCCGAGAGGTCATGTGCCAAGAGGCTGCTGAATCTAGAAGCCAGACATCAGCAAACTTCTTTCTGCCTTCATCAACAGTGGTTGCTCCACTGAATAGAATTTCACCATCCTCTGACGTGTTGACAATGCATCCTTGAGATGTTGATGGCTCTGAAGACTTTTTATCTTCACTCTTCTTGTTGTGCCAACACTCCGATTTGACGTGCCCTCTTTTGCCACAGTTGTAGCATTTGATATTCTTCTTACTTCGTGATTTCGATCTACCATGGGCATGACTCCCACTGAAGCCACGTTCTGTTGATCTTCCTCTCGTCACCGACAAGGCCTCCGCTTGCTGCGAACTTGTCTGCCTGTCTTTCTTGTTCTTGCGCCGATTTTCTTCCTCCAGAACAGCGGCTGCAACATCGTCGAAGACTAGATTGTCCGTGAGGACGTTGTTCGTCAGGTTGATGATGAGTTGATCATACGAGTCAGGTAGACTCTGAAGTAGAAGTTCTGCACGTTCATTCGCACCAACAGTATATCCCAAC